AAAAAAAAAAGGCTTACTGAGCAAGGGTCGCCTGAAACACTGAGATTACGCCGGAGCGCCCGTCGAGGCAGTCCGAAGCGCGCCTGCCCTTGGACGCCGCTGCGTGCCTGTCGTCGCGCAAGCAGCACTGTGTTGGAGCAGATGCTTTGCTTTCAGGCTGCCTGGACCGCATCCAAACGCGGCTCCCAGTCATTGTCGGTCATCTCGTAGTGCCGCGGCTCTGGCGTGGTCGGGTCAGGTCTGTACTAGCGTCGTTGGTATTGGGCGGCCGTACGAGGCAGGACACGAGCCAGGGTCGACCGGGGCTGCAAGTCGTCATTGCTGCGCGCTCGCTTAGATTTGCCAAAACAAATCCGGCAGGAATGTGCCTGTCTCGTGTGGGTCTACGCAAATGCAGTCGCGTACAGCACCCAACCCCACGGCTGCATGCCGCCGAGCGCGGGCCGACCTGCATCTTGCAGCCAAATCACCCGATTTGGAGGGAAACCATCGCCGATATGCACCACGCTCCGCTTTCAACAAAATCGGACGGCGCCCTCATCAGGCAGGTGGGGTCGGCTGACAAGGCTCGGTGGGGTTCGCGGGCGTTATGCGCGCTTTCTAGCCGGCAATGAAAGGCACACGCGATCCGAACCGGTACAAGGTGGCCGCACCGTCGTTCCTGCTCTTCGACCTTCCACCATCTCCCATCCGCGTCTGACAGCGCAGACGGCAACATGGCGCTCTTCAAGCAGTACGACGACTTCCTCCTCGACAATGCCTCCCAGATCACTGCGGTCGAAAGCTCGCTCCGCTCCATCACCTACTTCCTTCCAGGCCGTTTCAAAGATGCAGAGCTCGCAGGAGAGGCCCTCTACGCCTCGCTGAATCTGCTCGGTCTCTACCACGACTCCATCCTCGCACGCGCGCTCGATAGGCACGACCCCGAAGCCACCACATCCACCACAGTGTCGCACCCCTCGGAGAAGCGCATCGCAGCTTCCACCACCTCGCAGTACACCAACGCCATCACCGGCATCACTCCCTCCGAGCATGCAAGATACACCCAGCACTTTTCTCGCAACTCCAAGGGCTACAACCGCGTAGCCAGAACCCTCGTAGTCATCGGCTACTTTGAGCTCCTCGCAGAGATGGTCGCCAGGAGAAAGCTCGGGCGCAGAAAGGCATGGGACGTCGTCGCTGCCATCGAAGCAATCAAGGTCACCCTGCGTCTCAGCCTCGTCCATCTCTCGGGCAACCGCATGCCCATCCACCCACCCATCCCAGAGCGCGAAGTCGATCCCGCTGCCCTCGAACGCGGCAGGGCAAAGACCATGGGCGAGTTGTCGACAAGGCTCGATCAAGCCGTCCAATCTTCACACCAAGCCCTCTCCGACTCGGAGCTTCCCCTGCCCAAGGGCTTTTGGAAGGGCTCTCGCACCGGACTCTTGCGGCCCACGCTCGCCTCCCTTCAACCCGGCTACGACGATGCCGAATCCGAGCCCGCGCCATCGCTCGCCGAACCTGACCGTCGACCTCCGCACCTTCGCGCCATGCGGATCAATGCCGCTCAGTCGGGCTCCGACACCGACGATACCCTGGTCGACTCCACCCGCCTCACCGCGTCCACCATGGCGCTCAGCACGCATTCCAACCCAGACGCCCACCCACCTTCGCCTCCCGTCCAGATGAAGCCGTGGTCCGAGTCGCAGATCAATGACTACCTCCTCTCGCGCGTGCTCAACATCAACGACGTGCGCAAGCCCGAGGACCTCGTCCGACCGCTCCGCAACCGCACCGCTTGGACCGCGGAAGCGCTCTGGATCTTGCGTCCTTTCCTCTACGTCATGGCGCTTCGAAGGTGGGGTCGAAGGGCGACGCTTCCCTTTGTGCTCTCCTTTGTGCTCGAGTACCTCGCCAAGCAGCTGCGCTCCCGATCCTTCAGCCCACCCGGGGCAGCCACCAAAAACCCCTTCGCCACCAATCCGCTCATGGCCGCACTCATGGGCCAGAACCCGCTCCTCTCCATCATCACCAACATCTTCATGGGCGGCAATCCGGCAGACAAGGCAAAGCGTCCCATCTCGGCCGTCGAAGATGCAGAATGGTCCAAGCGCGGCAACGCCTTCTGGTACTACCTCCTCCGTGGACCCGTTTGGTACAACTTCACCCGTCCCAAACTCGCCAGCCTCGCAGATCGAACCCAGGGCAAATTCCTCATCGGCATCATCGGCGGCATGCTCGGCGACTACCTCCCTCTCATCGACGACTACTACTTCTATTCGGCCATCTGAGCCGCCGCGTCCACCTAACCCACCACTTCATAATCACCACACTCAAAATTCTCGATAAACACACCTGACAAAAAGCGGACTGCAAAGTGCGAGTTGAAAAAGCATGCAGTACAGAAGGTGGGATTGAGATTTTCCAGGTGATGCGTTGGAGGACAAGAGGGATGTATACGGACACGGTCCATATTTCTATTGGGGCAATGCTGCCGATGACCCTGGTGGCGACGCCACGCCGTTGGCCTGCGCCTGCTCCTTCTTGTGGGCGCGGGCTGCGATGGCGCGCGCTACCCACCCGACCATGTCGACGCCCTCCTCGCCCTTGGCCGCGTCCTGCACCAAAAAGTCGTGCTGCAGCAGCTGCGCATACGTCGGTCGACGCGACGGCACCTTCTCCAGACACTTGGCCACAAAGTCGCGCGCCGTTTCCGAGTACAGCTCCGCCGGGAGCTCGGGCGGGTCGCCATGTACGATCGCCTGCAGCTGCGCAAAAACGTTCGAGTAGGTCTCTGGCGGATACGGATACGTCCCCTGCGTCGTCTCCACCATCGACAGGCCCAGCGACCACACGTCCGACGCTACAGTATACGTGCCCAGCATGTTCTGCGACTCGCCCTTGATGCGCTCGGGCGCCATGTACGACTGACATCCAATGTTGGTCTTGGCCAGCGACTTTTCCAGCTGGCCCGACACGCCAAAGTCGCACAGCTTGACCTGGCCCTTTTGGTTGATGAGCACATTGGTGGGCTTGACGTCGCGATGCATGATCTGCAGCTGGTCCTTGAGGAAGCTCAGCCCGCGCACCATGCTGCCCGTGATCCTCGCCAGCACGTCCTCGGGCACGCTGCCGCGCTCGCCGTACAGCTTGTCGAGGCTGCCGGCATTCATGTACTCCATGCAGTAGTACACGCACGATTCGATGAAAAAGGCGCCGTAGAACTCGACGATCTGCGGCGCGGTGGCGCGGTGCAGGATGTCGAGCTCCATGATGATGGCGTTGAGCTTGGATTCGTCCAGCTCGAGGCGGATCTCCTTCATGGCCATCTCGACGTGCGTCTGGGTGTGTCGCACTTTGCGCACCGTACCGTAGTTGCCCTTGCCGAGCTCGTCGAGCAACTCGAGCTCGGCCATGTTGATCTTGAACGAGGTGCCGTTGCCAAACTCGACACCGGAGGCATGCAGCACGGCCTTGCCGCTGAAGTTGAGCCGACCGGAGGGATCGACGATCTTGGAAAAGTTGCTAAAGGGCGTCGACATGGCACCGTTCTGCTGCGCGGTGCCATCGCTGCCCTTGGAAGCGTCGGTGGTGTCGGGCAAGCGCCCTGGCGGTGGTGCTCTCCGACCTGTGCCTGCGCCCATGCCGGAACGCGGCGCGCTACCTGTGTCGAGTCCATCGCCGGCGCCGACGCCCATGTCGCTGAGTTTGAGGCCTGGTCGATTGCGCCTAGCGCCCATGCCAGCGCCAGGGGTGGCTGAAGGCGAGCCTGGTGAAGGCGCACCGAGGGTACCAGGAATGCCCCTGCGAGCGGCGAGGCCGCCCATGCCGGTGCCCGGAGATGCGCCCGGGCGCGCGGCTGCCGAGACAAAGAGCGATGCACTCGCGCTGCTGTCGATGCGCTGATCGTGACCGAGAACTGCGTGGTTGGGCGAAGGTGAGTGTGCGGAGCGGTTGGCGTTGGCGGCAAGCTTGGCCTGCAAGCTCGGCGGAAGGCGTGCTCCGGCCATCTGGCGCGCTCGCTCGGCGGCTCCGACAGCGGTGTTGGCAGGTCTTGCTGCGGATGGCCCGCCTGTTGCTTGATTGGGACGGAGAGAGGGCGAGGCTCGGGACGGTGGCCCACCAGTGGCTGCCTGCGGCGGTAACGGGGCCACACCATTTGAAGAGGGAAGCTGCGAGTCCGACAGACTCATCTGAGCGGTGAGGCGCTCCACATCTCCTGCGGTAGCCGAGTTGGTCATTGCAGGCTAGCCGACGACGGTCAGAGCCGGGTCACAAAGCGCGTGGCGGCCGAAGAACGTTCTGCTCTGTTCGGAAAGCGAAGGATGACCGACGACTCGACGAGTCCAGGGAGCTGCGTAGTTTGCGTACTTTGCGAGAGGCGGCTAGAGGATAGATGCAGATCTTCTCGGAGAGACCCCGACGGGCGAGGTAGATCGATTCTCGCGACTGAAAGACAGAGGCAGGCTCAGAGGACGAGTTGCGCGAGCCGCCGACCGATCGAGAAAGCCGAAATGCAGAGGAGAGGGTGGCCGAAGGATCGTGCTGATCAGAGAACGAGAGCAAGAGTCTGGAGACGTCCAGTTGGTTGGTGAGATTGCGCGCGATGTGATGCAGGCGATGATCAAGTTCGAGTCGTAGGAATATGGTGTGCCAATGCAAAGGAGAAGTGACGAGGTGACGAGCAAGGAGTGGGTGACGGTCGCAAGTCGAGCGAGGCCAAACGATGGCGCCAGATGCAAGGGCTGCAGACGCCGTTGAGCAACGGCAGAGATGCGGTTGGCTGCACCGATCCAGCTTGCCCGTCCCAGCCATGCACGCCAGTCAGCCCAGCGCTGCTCAGTTCCTTCGCCGTGCCAATTAACCTGGGCTGCCAGGCGTTGGACTCCCGCTAGCCACGTCTGCCGAGCGTGGAATTTCGCAGCGCGAAAATGAACCTGGCTGCCCCGGCGCAGCACGGCCACGCTGCTGCAGTCGATCCGTTAGCGTCTCGGCCACACGGCGAGTGTTGCATTCGCATCCTGGGCGGAATCGGCCCACCATCTCACCGCGTTCCATGCAGCACCACGTTCACGTCCACCTGTTCTCGTTCGCAGCGTTCTGGCCTCGTATGGACTGAGGCTTGAGATCAGACTTCTCAATTGTCGCTCGGCATGAGTGTGCGTACAGCAGAGGATCCCAGCCTGGTCGCCAGGAATGTAATGACCGAATGCCTGGAGCTGTCAACGTTGGAGATGGGCGAAAGAGCTCATGCGAAGCCTGAGCGCATGTGTCCGTCAAACTCCGAGAGTGTCGAGTCGAGCCTTGATGCGGCTCTAACCCTCAGTCTGTGCTTGTGACGTTGCGGTCGAGTGTAGCCTGCCATCAGCTCCAGTCCTGTCGCTCCTGCTCGTGCTGATCCTCGATGAGAGCGACACTCTGCATCTCGTGAGTCAGCTTCAACAGAGCAGCCAAATGAACTGACACGGCCATCGTCAGAGCGCGCCTGGAAAAGGGCACGAAATCCTCGCCTGGCTCCCTCGATCGATCGATCGGAAACACTGAGAGACCTGATCGAAGAAGGACCCCCCATCGAGAATCGCAGACGACTGACATCGGGGACCACGAGCCCGATTCAACCTACGACTTTTGGCTCCTCCGCCATGGCTCTGCCCGGCTTTGGGTTAGAATCCAGCTCCGAGCAATATTCACAGGAGGCACAGGCAAGGCCGTCCCTCGACTTGGCTATCGAGCCGATTCCGAAGAGTGAATCCAAGTCCAGTTCAAAGATTTAGTCTCGAGTGTGCTGCTCGGCGTGAATGCTCGGACCCGCACCGACTCGGCAGCCGCAAAAATCCTTCCGCATGAGCGTGGAAGGCTGGGGACCCGGCCGACCGTCGCCCAACCTCTGTCTTTCTTGCTCCGGCTGGCGACTCGAAGGTGGCCTTGTTACCATCTCGGTGCTCGCTCAAAGGTCAGTCACACTTCGGATCGAAAGGAGTCATGGTGCAGAACAGCGCCGCCCAAAGCAGCTTGCATCGGAGCAGTCTGTGAGGCTGTTGAGGATAGCCAATCGCTGCCAGCACAGGGCGATCGACCCACTTCTCTGCCGGCAAGTTGGCTTACTGGCTCTGCTCTACCCCGCGCGCTGCCCCGCGCTCCGGCTCAAAGCCAAGCTCTGGCAGCTTCGAGCCGCAAACGTTTGGGAACAGCTGCTCGCGGCTCGGACGCAGCCCTGCTCCATTGCCGGTAAGTCCCCAAAAGCCGATCCGAATTCTTCCTGGTTTTCAGCCAATTTTCCACGAGTGGGATCGAGATGGCCCCAGCTCAGGCCGCCTGTCCTGTCTCTTTTTGGCTCCGGCACGTCGCCGCTCGCTTTGCTCGCTCGTTGGCGCCCAGGCAGCAGACCACACGCGCGTGAATAGGCCAGCGCATGGCCAGGCATCCTTTCTTCGTCCGCGGTCCACGCTCGAGCCTCGGTCGCTCTCGACGTTCCCCTGCTGCTGCCCCGCCCTGCCCCGCCTCGTCCGCCAGCCCCGCCCGTCGCCTACTTGAAAGTCCAACACAACTTTGCCGGCTCTTCCATCCCCACCACCTCCTTCCAACCACCTTCCCTCCATCTTCAGCCCATCTCTTCGTCGGTTTACCACATCGACAGACGGATCGTAAGTGTGCTTCTCCCGCTTCCCTTCATCGTGATCCGCACCTCGTGTCGTTCGCACCGGCCCGGATTGCTTTCCGAGCTAGCGCAGGCGTATCCACGTACGCGTGTCGACGGCGACCGAACGGCTCCGGCACGCTTTGAGAAGCCGGGTCAGAGCCACAGTTCAAGCTGTTTTGCGAGAGCGCGCCCATTCGAATCTCAATGACTGACCTCGAATCGCTTGTTCTCGTTTCTTCGAATCTCGAATCGCGCAGATGCCTCGCCTCGTCTCGCAATCCACTCTGGCTGCATCGCTTCGATCCACCTCCACTCGATCGATCTCCACCTCTGCTCTTCCCCGAGCCACTGCTGTCGCTGCCCGCTCCGTCGGCCAGCTCGCCAACAAGTCCGTTCTTGCCCAGCTTCCCCGAAGCGCCGCCTTCTCCACCTCCGCTCGCGCCATGGGTGGCCACGCCGGTGTCGGAAAGGGTGAGGACAATGTCCGCCCTCCCCCCGACCAGGTCCTCCAGGACATTGCCGACTACGTGCACAACTACAAGATCGACTCCCAGGTCGCCTACGACACTGCGCGCCTCTGCCTGCTCGACTCGTTGGGATGCGCCATGGAGGCCCTCCGCTTCCCCGCTGCTGCCAACGTCTGCGGCCCCGTCGTCCCCGGCACGGTCGTGCCTAACGGCGCCCGTGTGATTGGCACCAACTACGAGCTCGACCCCATCCGCGCCGCCTTCAACAACGGCGCGCTCATCCGATGGCTCGACTTCAACGACACCTGGCTCGCCGCCGAGTGGGGCCACCCCTCGGACAACATTGGCTCCATCCTCTCGGTCGCCGACTGGATCAGCCGCACCAACATCGCCAACGGCAAGAAGCCCCTCACCGTCGAGGACGTGCTGACCGCCGCCATCCAGGCTCACGAGATCCAGGGCTGCCTCGCCCTCGAGAACTCGTTCAACCGCGTCGGTCTCGACCACGTCGTCCTCGTCAAGGTCGCTTCGGCCGCCGTCGTCTCCAAGATGATCGGCAACACCCGCGACCAGACCGTCGACGTCGTCTCGCAGGCTTTCGTCGACGGCCAGTCGCTGCGTACCTACCGCCACGCTCCCAACGCCGGCTCGCGCAAGTCGTGGGCTGCCGGTGACGCGTGCTCGCGTGCCGTCAACCTCGCACTGCTCGTCCAGAAGGGCGAGCAGGGCTACAACTCGGTGCTCACCGCCAAGACCTGGGGCTTCTACGACGTGCTCTTCAAGGGCAAGGAGTTCAAGTTCCAGCGCCCCTACGGCTCGTACGTCATGGAGAACGTGCTATTCAAGCTCGTCCCCGCCGAGTTCCACTCGCAGACCGCCATCGAGGGCGCCATCGTGCTCCACGGCAGGATGCAGAAGAACGGCAAGACCTCGGACGACATCAAGCACGTCACCATCAAGACGCAGGAGGCCGCCGTCCGCATCATCTCCAAGTCGGGCAAGCTCAACAACTACGCCGACCGTGACCACTCGCTCCAGTACATCACCGCCATGGGCCTCATCAACGGCAAGCTCGACCCCGAGGACTACTCGGACGAGGTGGCCAAGAACCCCAAGATCGACGAGCTGCGCGCCAAGATGTCGGTCGAGGAGGAGGCTCGCTACACCACCGAGTACCTCGACCCCGAGCTCCGCTCCATCGGCAACAGCGTCGAGGTCACCTTCAACGACGGCACCACCGACTCGATCGCGCTCGACTACCCCGTCGGCCACGCCCGTCGCCGCGACGAGGCCAAGCCGCTCATCAAGGCCAAGCTGCAGAAGCACCTCAAGGGCTTCTTCCCCGAGGCGCGCCAGTCCGAGATCGTCGCCCTGCTCGAGGACCACGCCAAGCTCACCAAGCTCCCCGCCAACGAGTTTGTCGACCTCTGGGTTCGCGACCAGTAATTGGCAGCGCTTGCATGCACGCACGCACGCACGCCCGTCCGTCCGTCCGACGTCCTGTCAGCCTGGCTCTGTAGATGTGACAAAGCGTATCACGCGCCAATCGCAATTGTAGAATGAACGAAAGCCCGCTTCCCCTGTGTAGTGAGGGTCATTGAGGGAGCAGTCGTCGGCATTTCCGAGGAGACCGCACGATTGAGCCGAGCGAATCAGCGTCGCGCATGCTTCGGCCGCGCCGATACGTAGCCCCGCGTGCTGCAAATCGAACCGTATGCATTGCCGCCGCAGCTTCTTCAGCGAGTCCCAGCTTCGGCGGTCCCGACGAAAGATGGCTAAACGCTATGCGGACGTGAGTATAGCGAGTCGTCACAGGAGCTCTGACGGTGTCGAGCGCTTCACTTGGTAGAGCAACAACATGCAGAACAACGCGCGATGGCTCGAAAGGGAAGATGCCCGCCGAGCGCCGAGGATCTCGCGTAGCACGCAATCGCAATCTGCGAATTTCTCCGTGACTGCTGAGCCGGAAGTTGGAAGAAGGGGGCTCGGCGCTGGGACATCTAAGGGCCGTGCTCTCTTTTTGTTCGTACAGAAGCCGAAGCCAATTCTTGCGCTTCGACCACCACTTGACAGTCTCAGCAGCGCATTCCCATCGGCCCTTTCCACGCTTGTCGAAGGTACAAGATCGATCACCATGGCAGCTGCTCTTCCGAGGTCACTCGCGGGCTTCGCCCGCACTTCCGTCCGTGCGCTGCACAGCTCGAGCCGCTCGGCCGCTTCGACCTCGACGCTGTCGCCCGTCGCCGCCGCACACATGCGCCCCGTCAACGGCTTTGTCGGTGCCGTCGGCAACACGCCGCTCATCCGTCTCAACAAGATCAGCGCCGAGACCGGCTGCGAGGTGCTCGGCAAGGCCGAGTTCATGGAACCAGGAGGAAGCGTCAAGGACCGCGCTGCCCTCTACGTCGTCAAGGACGCCGAGGAGCGCGGCCTCATCAAGCCGGGAGGCACGGTCGTCGAGGGCACCGCCGGAAACACCGGAATCGGCCTCGCCCACGTCTGCCGCTCCAAGGGCTACAAGTGCGTCATCTACATGCCCCACACCCAGTCGCAAGAGAAGATCGACCTGCTTCGCATGCTCGGTGCCGAAGTCTACCCTGTCCCTGCCGTCGCCTTTGACAACCCGGAGAACTACAACCACCAGGCAAAGCGACACGCCGAGCGCCTCGACAACGCCGTCTGGACCAACCAATTCGACAACACGGCCAACCGTCAGGCCCACATCGAGACCACCGGCCCCGAGATTTGGGACCAGACCGACGGCAAGCTCGACGGCTTTACCTGCGCCACCGGCACCGGCGGCACCCTGGCAGGTATCACCAGCTACCTCAAGGAAAAGAGCGGCGGCAAAGTGCAGTGCTGGCTCGCCGATCCGCCTGGCTCGGTGCTTCACTCCTACATCCAGACCAAGGGCAAGCTCATGGACCGCCAGGGTGGATCCATCACAGAGGGCATCGGACAGGGCCGTGTCACCGAGAACCTCAAGCCAGACATCGAGAAGCTCGACAACTCGATGCACATCCCAGACGAGGAGAGCATCGCCATGGTCTACGAGCTCTTGCACGAGGAGGGCATCTACGTCGGTGCCTCATCGGCGCTCAACGTGGTTGCCGCCAAGAAAATGGCGCAGCAGCTCGGCCCCAACAAGACCATCGTCACCATCCTCTGCGACGGTGCGTACCGCTACCAGGCCAGGCTCTTCTCGCGAAAGTGGCTCGAGNCCATCCTCTGCGACGGTGCGTACCGCTACCAGGCCAGGCTCTTCTCGCGAAAGTGGCTCGAGTCTAAGGGCCTCGTCGGGGCCATCCCTGAAAGCCTCCAAAAGTACATCGTTCTTCCATGAAGTCGATGACACCAACCACCTCACTCTCGCAGCAACAGTCGAATGGGTGTGTCTCTGTGCGAATCGCAGCGTATTTGCAAAGTATGCCACGACGTATGATACAGATTAGAATACAGAACGCGCACATGACTAGCAGCGGTGAGCGAGATTAGTGAAGAGGCTAGATGCGATGGGAAGTCATTGTCCGATATGATTAAAGCAAAGTGGAAGCAAGACGGTGAGCCTGGTCGAGCGAGCCGGTTCCAAGGCCCTGCCTCTCGAATGCGTTGCTTGAGTTCGTTGGCGCAGGCATAGAGAGTTCGGTGAGGCCACGCTGGCGTCGCCACCAGTTGGTCCTGCGGAGGATCGAGGCGTCGAACAGGCCCCACCACTTCTGCAGCATGCGCTCGCTGAGTTCCCACGCCTCGGGATCCAGCACGTCATCGCCGTAGACGTGGAACGACGCGACACCCTCGTCGGTGGACAGGATCGAGAGAAGCAGGTCCAAGGCGAGCTCCTCTTCGCAAACGGGTTGGGCGAGCGCATGCTTGACCAGGCGTGATCGAACGGCTGGCCAGGGCAGACAGGCGTCCAAGAAGGCTCGGTGCGGATATAGCAGCTGCTCCGTCGTGGGGAGCATGTTGGAACTCAGTGAATCCCAGTCGATGCCAGCATCAAAGACCAAGCCCTTGGCAGGCTCCAAATCGGCGGACCCAGACTTGGAGAAGAGCTCGAGACGCGAAAGCAATCCTCGCAAGCCGTCCCCGCTGTGTGCTAGACCAAAGCGCGATGCGATCGCCTGGGCGACGCTCGCAAAGGAGAGCGACGTGATGGCGACGGATCGCGTCGGCTGTGACAGCTGAGGCTCCGCACGCGCGACGTGTTCCGAGATGGCCTCGTCGAAGGGCACAGAAGAGCGAGAATCTGTGCTCGGATAACTGGCCGCCTCGCTGGAGTCTGACGCAGACGAAGGGGTTGAAGGTAGCCGGAGTAGGTAGTCAAAGGAGGCGATAGACTCAACCGGAGCCATTGGCTCGAAGTTCATAAACATTGTGCTCGAGGGCATCGAGTGGCTTGCCGAGGGGGGCGGTAGTACCGAGGGACTGGGCAGCGCTTGATTCAGAAGAAGTGGATCCGAGTGTATCCCGACCATCTTGAGTCCAACGTTGCAGCTGACGCCCGAGGGGCAGACTAGGGTTGAGAATGTCATTGGTGCGGGTGCAGCCATAATTGGCGTGGGAATATGCTGGCTCGGATTGAACGACGCGTAGCTATCGGTGTACAGGGACGCGATCGGAGCCCAGTCCTGCTCAGCCTTGAGATCGCGATCCATGAGCGCAGACGCTTCAACATCAGTGTGCGCTTTGGCCGCCCGGGGCTTTGCCAATTCGATAAAGGTGGGCATGACGGGCGTGAGAAGCTCGGCGCAGCTCGATGTGGGGCTCGACATCTGCGAGGACTGCGATGCAGACGATGACGAGCATGCGGAGCCAGCTGATGCCGAACGTCCTCTGGCTTGAAGATCGTCATGCGAGGAAGCACTGCTGAGGTCCAGATGAGCGGGAAGAGCGAGATGCCGGGTAGAGCCAAAGCCAGGGTTAAGACCAAAGCCCATACCAGAGCTGGAGCAAGAGTCGCTGCCCAACGCCGACGCCGAGCCCATTGCACGTGCCAGGCGAGCTTTCTCGCGGAAGCGTCGCTGGGCCAGCTTGTTCTGTGCGCGGCGTCGCTCCAGCAGCTGCTGCGAGGTGAGCCCTGCGGTGGAACTTGAACGCATTGTCAAGGCACTTCAAAGATCCAGGTACAAGCTGAAGGCCACGGCAGCGCGTTGACAGAGTCGACAAGATGACTATGCGATGAAAGGCTGTTGCTCAGCGCCCTCGAGACCCAATATCGTCTCAGAGCAGAGAATATGGTGGATGTGAATCCTTCGGTCTCCTGGGGAAGGAGAGTAGAGAGGGAGTAGACTCAGGAGCGGGAAAGAGGTGCAGTGCGGGGCCGTCGGCAGCGGGGGGTCAAGCGATTCGAGACCAGCTCATATACGTGCGTTTCGACATGACGGAACGGAAACGGCGCAGCGGATCGGTCTGTCTGTGCTCCAGAATGCGGGAAAGCCGGAAGAGCATGGAAGCGGAGAGCGAGTGCCTCGGCAGAACAGAGGGGAATCATTCTCAGCCAGGCGCTTCGACGGAGGACAGCTTAATGGCTCGCGATACAACGCAGCCGGAAACGCCAACGATGAGACGGCGGAAGTGCCCGGAGGAGAGGGAGGATAAGGCAGGGCAACGGGTGATGCAAATGTCCGAACAGCCGCTGCAGCATGAGCAGCGACAGCATACATCATGC